AAATTTGTTTTATACAAAATTTTGTACAAATTTTCTACATTTGTTTTAGAAAAGTTCTGCAAATTTATTTTATCCAAAATTTTATTAAATTTGTTTAAGAAAAAGTTGGATACATTTGTTTGATGAAAAATTTTAATTTTATATACAAAAATTTTGGAAAAAAAAAATTTGTTTTTTTTTTTCAGGTAAATGTTACGATATCATTTTACGGTCCAGAACATCGAAAAATTACTCCGACAGCAGCATCGATTTCTCTGAAACATCCGATCAATTATCCCGAAAATGTCAGAATTGCTCGTGTCTCGCCTAGATATTATCGTGTTGCACAACCGACAAGTCAAGTCAATCCAAGAATATCTTTCAGTATCCATGGTTCGGAAGCTTTCAATGTTACCGAAAAAGGTGGTATTGTGCACGTGATCGACACGAATCTACTTAAAACTGCACCATCCCTTATACCGTAAGTTTCATATCCAAATTTTTTCTTTCTTATTAACAACTACTGTATATATATATATATATATATATATATATATATATATATATATATATATATATATNATATATATATATATATGTGTGTGTGTGTATTTAAAACTTTCCTCTACTATATGTGTGTGTGTGTTTTTTTATTTCTGAAAGAGATAAGTAGCTTTACCCATTTGCACGTTTAATGAGATAAAATACTATGCTGTCCAAAGTTTAAAGCCAAATGAATTTTATATTACGTTTCGGTAGAGAGACAGCTTTGTTATAATTTAAAATATTTGAAATATTAAAAAGAGAGTTATAATAAATATACAAATATTTATTATATGAAAATTTAACGATGATATATAATATATTCTTGTAAAGATATTATAAAGTGTATGTATCAATTAAAGAAAATTAAATGCATAGGTGTTAATTACATTTTTTATTTATTCGTTCGTTGAATTTAGTTCAAAATCATTACAGATATAAATAATAATCTCTTTCATATTTTAAACAATAAATTTTGCATCGATGTTATTCAATTTGTTTGCTCGTTTGTTGAGTTTAGTTTGAAATTATTGCAGATATAAATAAAAAAATATATTCTCTTTCATATTATAAACTATACTTTAAACATTTTTATTAACTCAACGATAAAAAAAAAAAAAAAAAGAACAAAACAAAAATTAAATGTATCCATGTTATTAGAATATTCGTCTATTTATTCATATTTTTTATGTTTAGTTTGATATTGTTGCAAATTTATTATATATTCTCTTCTATAATATAAACTGTGCATTATAAAACATTTTTATCAACTCAACGATAAAAAACCAAAAATATCAAATGCATCGATAAGTATTAAATTTGTCATCTGTTTGTTTGTTTGTTTGTTTGTTTGTTCTATTTAGTTTGAAATTAGAATTGCGAGTAGGTGATCAAATGAAATCATCCATAACGATAAAGGTTAATTTGATTGACGTGCAACCTACGAAGATGGAGATTTGCAATGAAATCGAAGGAATCGTTCATTCCTGTGCTAATGCTGAATCTCGTCAAGATTGTGAATTAAACTGTGGCGTTGGCGGTGGTATTCTCAAGTACGTGTGTCATATTTTTTTTCTTCTTTTCTATATCCACGTTATGACCTTTCAACTTATATCCTCGATTTTCTGATAAATGTTAAATAAAAAGTAAAATAAGAAAGATGATATTTTTCTCAACGAGTTATCGAACGAAATGTGACACACCTCTATGTTGGAAAAGAAAATCCTGTGTCTGTCTCATTTTACGCGATACAACATCATGTATAATAAATGATATATCCCATATCTTAAAATTGATTAAGTCATGTTTTATTTAGCAACGACACGTATATGGGACATTGCATATGGCGTTTGAACAATAGCAATATTTTGCCAAATCAAATGTCGGAACGTTATGCAACATGTTCGCCGAATTTAAACTTTTGTCCTGATTATACTTGTGACGAATTGGAACGACTTGATCCTCGTATTTGTCCACAGGATTGTACTATAGAATGTAAGTGTAATCCTTATTATTTATTACATTATTAAAATACTTCTATTTTAACAAAACAAAAAATAACACAACAAAATTTAGAGATTTATAGAAATAGAGTAGTTCATTATTTTTCCAATTTTATCCAATATTTTAATTTATATCCAACATTTTATTTTTTATTCAATATTTTAATGTTTATCCAACATTTGTTCAATTTTTATTCCAATAATTGTACAATAATTAATGGCGTCGATAAATAATATTAAATTATTTTAATTATTATTTAATTATTATAATATTGTTTTTGTAAATAATTAATAACGTTAAAATTTATATATTTGTTACGATATCATAGACATTTTTATTAGAATAAATCAAAAGTTCGTACATTTATCGAGTTGTTTCAAATATTACAATTTTTTGAAATGAATAAAATTACTTTATATTCAAGTGAAATTATATATATATATATTAATTTAAAATATACACGAATTTTTTGATTCATTCTAATTTCTTTAATCCAATTTTCGTAAAATATAATAAATTGCATGTTGAGGTACAAAAAATAAAAAGAGGAAAGTTACATTGACGATGAAAAACATGAGATCTCTTTTGACGGGGTAGGTAAAGAGGCTGCACCCTCATTTTGATTTTATATTTTTTCAGCCGAAGTCCACTTCGCTGAAATGAATAAGGGTGGTCGTGGAATAAAAAGTGGTTTAGGAATATGTTCCTGCAATGATATGGTACAGTGTACTTGTGGTCCCGAATCCTTTCGAAAGGATAATACTGGTGGTGGTGGTGGAGGTAGCCAATTTACAAAAACCAAGGTTGGCAAAAACGAAACAAACGGAAAATTACGAAGGGATCGTGATAAAAATGAGGAACCTATACCCGGTGCTAGAAAAGGTTTCGTATCTTTTAAACAATATAGACATGATTTATTTTGAAAATTGTTTATTGTAAGTCAATTTATGGTTGAAAATATTGAAGTATTAAATTTAAAAATATTGATAATTAATGACATAATACAATAATGTTTTTTGGGGGGAGGGTTCTAAAGCTGTCAAATGTATCATCTCAATTACCATAATTAATATTATTTAAGAAATATAAAATAAAATTTGTTTAATGGCTATTATTGGAGTAACGTTACTTTCATAATAAACTTT